TATAAAGATGTAAATATATAAATATATGTAAAGATATAAAGATATAATAAAGATATAAATATATATCTTTAATATTTTGTACATCTAAATATAATTTATATATATTTTTAAATCTTTTTTCTAATATTTATTTTTAAAAATATAATATTATTTTTAAAATTTAATATTTAAATTTTTATCTTTTTTTCAAATATATAAAGATATAAATGTATAAGGATATAAATAAATATATCAATATATATATATATATATATATATATATATATATATATCAATATATCAATATTATCCCCTCATATATTATTATACATTATTAGCGTAATTTTAGTTTAATTAAAAATTAGAATACAAATATATTATATTATATTAATATACCATTATGTTATAATATTTATAATTTATTTTTATAGTGTATAAATTACAAAACTAATAATTTGTATACTATACTATACTAATATATAATTTGTATACTATACTAATAGTATAATATTATTTGTATACAAAACTAATATCTTTATATATAAATATATAAATATGGAAAAATATAAAGATATAAATATATAAAGATATAAATATATATAAAAATATAAAGATATAAATATATCAATATATATAAATATATCAATATATATAAATATATCAATATATAAATATATCAATATTTAAATATATTAATATATAAATATATCAATGTATTAATATTTAAATATATATTAAAATATATAAATATATTTTTATTTATAGATTTTATATTTATATATTTATACGGATATACATTTATTTGTATATAAATATAATTTATTTGTAAGTTATTATTAAAAAATCCTAGTAGCTCGGATGTTGGAGTTTCGACCTCCAACTCTAAGGTACCGGGTTTGAATCTTGACAATGACAATAAACCTAAAAATAAGTTAAACTTCTAAAAAATATAAATAAAAACTTAAATAAGCCAAAATATAATATAAAAAGAGGTAGGGAAAATATATAATAAATATAATTAAAAATGTAAATAAATAAAAATAATTAATTTTGTTATATTGATTTAGCGACCGATTTAAATCGATCGCTATTTTTTTAACTTTGTCACCGATTTAGCGACCAATTTGATATATTAATTTCAGCTCGCTATTTTGCGACCGAAATAAAATCGGTCACTATTTTGCGATCGAAATGAAAATCGGTCACTAACACATTAGCGACTAGGCTTTTTACGACGACGCATTTCGGTCGCTAAGCTGATTAGCGACTGATTTTTTGCGACCGATTTTTTCGATCACTAAAATGCTTTTTTCTTATAGTGAAGACAAACTTGAATTCTTGATGCGTCTGAACAACACACTCTAACTCATGACTTTTATTTTATTTTTTTTGGTTCAAGTCCCATTATTACTCTGGTAAATAACAGTGATTGATGGGCTTGTAACCCTAATTATTAAGACTTTAAATTACAGTCTACAATCATAATTGTGATAAAAAAAAGATTAGATCACTAAGATTGTAATGGTGGCTTATTTGATTTTCTTGATATTAAACTTTCTAAAAGCTTTTCAATTAAATTTAAAACCAGCTACTATAACTGTGCATATGATGAATTTAGCTAATTTTATTTTTTATGTATAATGATCGCAAAGGTGTTGAAACTCATGACCTCATTTGATTAACCTATAAACCTATAAATGCCATTTGAAATTAAACTTTATTCGGGTGAAGCTGGTTTCTCTAAAACTCTTATCTTCCATAAACAGATTTGTAATACAACAAAGCCAAACCAGGACAAATATTGATTAACAATTACTACATAAGTAGACAGCTAGATCACCATTTTGATCAACACCTAGTGATGAGAAGTAGCATTATTTCTTTCCATTTTCAATATAAACATACTCAAAGTCTCTTGCATTTGCTATAAAAGAACTATATAAGAGTAAAAAATATTTTTTAATTGTTTTGTGCTACTATAGGCCAAGGTTTATACTTAAGAAAATATTGTGGTTTTAGGACCCACTCTAACTGCATTTTTCGAAATTGCCGCACCACAACGGCACAAAACCTAAGGGACCTACTTTAATATTAATAGAATTGCAATTAATGCATTAAATCATGGATCGGATCTTTCAACAGAAACCCAAGCTTAATTCAGGTCCCATCGACAACTAATTCACTTCTGCCATTTGTAAAATACTTATCTTCATCAAATTTTCTATTCATTATATCAACAAATTGCTCCTAAGTTTAGTATTTCTGCTCATCCAACTGACTGAAAAATCATATTCAACTTAACCACAACTAAAGGTTATTAATTATATTATAATTCAACTTTTTTTATAACCAAACGAGTCTGATCCTTTTTTTTTTTTCTAATAGTGAAAAGAGTTTAATTTCACCACTATTAAAATTTTTATTAAGTGCAAAAATAGAAACAATTATTACATCTTGGTTTAATCGCTTAAGCTTTTTGAAATTCACAAAAATCAAATATGAGTGTTCATGTGTAGCAATAACATGTCTACTATAAATAAAAACCTCACTCAAACCATAGAAATGGGAAAGTTAGAGAATCAGTTACAGTCATATGTGCTTGCTCTCGTATCTTTGCAACACAAACACATATATAATTGCTTAAGGATTGAACTAGCCTAATGTCTCATATCCCCACCATTAAAGCTACATGTTGTCGTAGCAATTTAATTTCGAAAATATATATAAAAATAAGAAAATGTCAGTGGACAATGCTAACTATATATAATTGATAAATAATCATATACACATTTAGAATGCATATTTAATTTTTCATGGCTAGATCCCATTTATATAGGATACTGATGTATAGGTTTCCTAGGCAATACTTTAGACCTAATCTAGTTTTTGCGCACCTATAGGTAGGAACCTGAGTGGACATAGTTCCTCGTAACATTCAAGGGATATTGGTTACAGACATTGTAAAGTATAATTGATTTTTTTGTTTTTCCTTAAAATAGTACTCAGAAATGTGCCTAATGTAGATATTATAGGAGTATGGCAGTATTTAGCATCAAATCAATCTATATAAATGAAAGAAATAGTCTCAATCATTCAGTGAAGTGAATGAAAAAAAGGGAGGGATCAATTCAAAGAGATTGATTAAACTGATCAAGGGACCAAGAAGGTATCCAATGTTTTTTTTTAAGGTTTAATTGACTTGCATCATATTGCATCTATATGTGGGACATCATCTTACATATTTGTGGGGATGCATCATGGATTGTGAAAAAGTTTAGTCTCTATCTCCTTCATTTCCTTTTAGTATCAATGTTTGTGTCACTGCTAACTAACTTCCGTCTCCAATTGTATTATATTTTGCATAAATGTAAGTAAGAAAAATATTATGTATGCATGTGGTAGATGCAAATATAATGGCGCGAAAGATTCAATCTGTACTTATACATAAACACCAGCAAAATCTGCAAAAATTCCAAGAGAATCAAAGGATATCAATGCCATGCAGTATCATACACATTACTTTGGAGAAAATTCAAGATTATTTTCATGCCTATATATATATATGCTTGATAGTGTATACATATATTTATATATAGGTGAATACAATACAGGGACTTACCCCAATGATAAACTCTTCGTCAACTTCATTCTAAATTCTCATTGGAAATAACAAAATACACTCCTTGACATAAAAAGACCACGCAAGGGTTAAAGTTGACCCAAGAATATTTATAGATAGTCGAGTATGATTCAACACTGCAGCTGAAGTTATATCCAACACCTAGCAACAGATTCAGGACTCATGGATCTGAAATCAATTAAAGGTGAAACCCAAAATTAAATTCATGCAATATGGCCATATATAGATCAGTTACGTTACACAGTGTGGTTGTGGCCAATCCTTTTGGGATACAACAATATATATAAATATATTTCCCTTAATGAAGTTAAAAAAATGTAAAAATGCAGTAAGATATAGTATGGCCATGGTGATTGTCAAATGAGTTTGCAGTGTTACTAGTGGAAAGACGATGCAAATTATGTACGAATGTCAGATATACATGTAACAGCAAGAAGGAAAAGGACATTCATATGATGGGAAAATGAGAAAAAGAAGAAACAAAATTCGTTAGAATAAGACAAAACTTTGAGGGTAAGAGATTTTGGGTTCTAGCTAGTATGCCAATGAAATTTATAACCACGACATCAGAAGACAAGACTCTAGAAACAGCATCTAATTTTCCCACAACCATGGATCTTGAACCTTTTTCCCCCCAAGATATTTTTATAATACAGTTAACAAGATAATCTAATTTTAAAGTCTCAAAATTTTATATCATCGCAATGGTTGCATCGTTTGTGGAAGCCACAACAAGAGAGTACCAACGTCGAAGAAAGTAAGATAGTGGGGAAAAGCAAACTTGTATACAAGTAAATATTTATTTTATCATATTATATAAGCTCAAAGACATAATTACGAAATGCAGAAACCATGATATCATTGTCTTGTTGCACGTGAGAGCGACAAAATGGATGATGTAAGTTCATTTACCAATCCTTCTACACCATGCTCATTCAGTGCAAATGTTCAAAAGAAACAAGGAACTGAGGTAAAGTGCGTATTTACTATTAATACACAATTTATAACATGTAACTACATGTAACATATACATACAATTTAGGGTTTTTGAACTCCATGAATTAGGGTTTAATATATAATGAAATGCAGATGAACTTCTTATGCTTTTAAGAGAACTGTGTGCTGATGGGATATGATTGATGAATTTCCATCTCTCAGTGCTGAAAATCCAACCAGAAAACATTAAACTACAGAGTATATTGTCAAAAAACTATAGCACCCAATTGTTCAATTATGTCCTTCAATGCATACAACAATGTCAATGCTTCAGGTACCATCCTTAATTAAACACAGGAGCAAGCAAATCTAGAAATTAAACAGTAGTGAGAAAGAAAATTTACCACATGCTCCTCATGAAGGGTAATTATATAAGAGTATTATATTACTGCATAGGCAAGTTTGAGGAGGTGTCTCCGTTGGGCTTGATAATATTCCTCTTCTTCTTTTTCTTCTTATAAGGGATTCCTCTAGCCTTAGCTTGGGAATCCCTCACCTCTCTAAGATAGACTCTGATGGCACCACTTGCAAAGGGATTGGTCTCAGGAAGGCCTCCATTTTCTTCATATGCAGCTCTCAACCTTCCAATGAGTGCATCAAGGCTTCCCCAAGCTTGTCTAAGAGGGCAAGTGCAGGGTCCAGGTGGCTCACTTTGCCCAAAAAACAAACACCCTTGTAAGTGCACTTTGGTTTTCCCAAACTGATCCAAATAACGAAGGAACTCGAGCACATGGCTAGAACTACACTGAGAAAGTGGCACAGGAGGCCTCTGATTCCTCAAGTACTGTCCAAAAGTGTTCCAATCCCTCCTCTTCTGAGACTCATAGCGACTCAGTGGTAACTGTTGTTGCTGCTGCTGATTGTGATCATCACCACCTCCAGAGGGTCTTGATGACCCTTCTGCTATCTCCTTTCCCTTGCTGGACATGCCTGCTACTGACAAATCATCTAGTATTTCTTTTTGTGAAGTGTGAAAGGGAAATTTTGGTGGGGAAGAGAAGACAAATAGGCGCACACACACACAATACAATAGCAGTGGAAGAAATTTTAATAAAAAATCATTAGATATATAAAAAATTTGGAGATCACATCAAAGGGGTAGTGAGGGGACATGGTATGGGACCAATGAAAGTGCTTTAGCCCTTCTTTTTCTTCCTTGCCTACATTATTTCTTGCTTTAATGGTACTATTAGTATTAATCATGCTTTATTTTTTCCCTTATTTTTTTTTTTTATTATTGTGCTTCCATCATCAAAGCAATTATTATTGGGTAATTAGCACTACGGTTAATAACTTGGTGACCATTTAGTAACACTCTAGGTCCTCTACATTCAAGGCCTTGTTTGCCACGTATTAGCAATTTTTGGAGATTAAAAGTTAAACTCGATGGCTTCCGTAACCTATTCTATAACACATTACATGGTAGGGAGTATGGTATCACATCTCTTTCACACACCACAACTTTTTAATCTCATCCCCTCGTGCATTTTACTCATATAAGCAAATTAAGAGCTCATTCAAGACTCCGAACTCAAACATATCAAGTATTATTTTAGGGTTTATATTATTTACAGAATCCAATTTTAGTTAGACTTCGTAGCTAGGCTACTTCACCCTAGCATTTTCCTCCTCTTGTGATAATCTAATAACTCTTTCTGTAAATTAAATAAATAAATCAGAAATTAAAAAAAAAAAATTCTAGTTTCGTAAGTGGGTTTCTTTATAAGAATAAAACTTGTATGTTTCTCTAAATGTTTGTTTAGGGTGAGAAAAATAAAGTAAACAATGATTTTAAGTGGAAGAATGGTGGTAACTTGCCCAATTGTTCATATATTTGTCAACCACGCGCTAGCACTTCCACGTACGCGCATACAAAAAAGTTGTATTATATTTTCACTTTTTATTTTAATTATTAGAAAGATCGACGTGTAATTTTTTATTTATTAAAATAGTTTCAAAAGTTTATGTTACTCAGATATTCTTCAAACAATGAGTTTCTTTTTTCAATTTTAAGAGTATTTTAGTAAATAATAATTTGAAATATTAAAATATTTTAAAAAATGTATTATACTATAATACAGCATATTAGTTAATGACCATACGAAGAAAAAAAATTTTAACCATACAATTGTTATATATAAATAGTAAAATTATTTTACTTAAATATAACATGCATAATAGGAAAATCCTTGTTAGTGGTACTGAGGGTAAAAAAATATAACCAATATCCATCTTAGGAATTTTTTTTAATAAAAATAAAATAAATATTTTAACGACTATATATGATGTAATCATGATTCGCTGGTGAGATCTCTCACCAAACACTTAGAGATTCTTTTTGTTATGAGAGTGAAAAAGTAAATAATTTAATTATAAAGTAATTGTTAGATTAAATTAAACACAAAATGTACTTTTTAAAATAATGATCAATGTGACTTTAAATAATATTTAACTAACTTATTATAGTCTAGATTTCTTCTCATTTCACATTAAATAATTGTTTTGAAAGAAATAAAAAAAACTTTAAATGGTGAAAAATATTTAATGTATATTTTTTTCTTTTTGTGGTTATTTAAATATTTATTTATAGATTTTTTTTTCTTAACTCCTAGCGATTCTAATTACAGTGGATAATCAATATGTGTTTATTAGGGATTGAGTGTTTATAAGTTTTTTAGTTATAAATATATTTGTGTTTAGTCTTTAGATTTTAAAAATTATGTTTTATTTAAAACATTGTGATTTAAGTTCAATATTTTTTTTATTAAAGAGGTAAGTCTTTATATAATAAGTGAACTTTTTCAAAGGTAAAGGTACTTCCCATAACTTTTATATATATATATATATATATATATATATAATGATTTTGATCTTTTTAAACTTAATAATTATGACTATATATTTATCATTTTAATCTTTCACTTTTTTATATTTATTTATTATTTATTAATAATATATTATTTATTCTTCAAAATTATTAGTCAAGATCTACCCATATTTATACTACATGGTCCCTCAAACTCAAGATAAACATAAAGAGACTAAAAGAATGAGGTGAGTCTTTTAGTCTCAATTATGAAGATGGAGCGACTAATATAATAAGGTCGATTCTTCATCTTATCAAAATAATAACATCATACAACCTTAGAGTCTTGAGGTAAAGATGAAAAAACTAATAGAATAAGATTAATTTTTTTATCAATTAAAGTAATAACACTATAAAATTCTCTTAGCCTCGAGGTGAAGATAAAAAGACTAACAGAATCAACTCGATTTTTTAACTGATTAAAGTAATAACAATGCAATATCATAAAAGATCACCTATAGGATCACTTAGAATTATAAATGAGATAATAGAAGATCATGAAAAATGATAATTTAGAAACACAAATGAGATCCTAGAAAATCATGAATAAGATCATTTAGGATAGAAAATGAAATTAGAAGATCATATATAGGATCACAAGTGAGATCACGAATAGAATCCCTTCAAAGAAAAAATCATATCATAGAAATTCACAAATAGGATCACTTTTAATCGCGATGATTGTCAAAGATCAAGTGATGAAGATTATGCATACACTACAAGAAAAACAGGACCGCAAATTTAGTCACTAAATGATCAAAACCAGCCACTAATTAAAATAGTGATTGATTTTGTAACCAACTCAATCAATCACTTTTTCGTTAGTCGCTAATTCATAATAACCGATTCTGTGACCGATTGAATCGACATTAGGAAAATCATATCAAGTCGACATTATGGATACCATTATGATCAAGTCGACTTTAGGAAACCATAAGATTATTTTGGAGATCATGTTAATCAGGTCAGCTAAGGGATGTTTATGAGATGTTGATATTTTAGAGATCATATTGATTAGGCCAGTCATAAGGAAATAGTGAGATTGACATTATGGAGGGAATAAGGTTAATGAAAAAAAGTTTATGAAAAAATATTTGAAACTATGTTGATCCAGCTAGTCATAGGAAGATCGTATCATATCGACATTTTAGAGACTAAATTTGATCAAGTTGGTCATAAAAAGACCATATCATATTAACATTTTGTAGACTATATTAATCAAGGAATCCTTTGCATGAATTATTGCAAATTTGAGACATCTTCTTCCTTGCTTGTAATCCCTTTATCGCTCTTATTTAATAACTTGTATTTCGTATAGTAGAAACAATTTTTCTTGTCATAGGTGAACGTCTCAATATTCTAAAAAAAAAAAATTTTAAACGAAATTTTAGATTTACAAAAACTTCCCTTTTATGATGATTTACATGTTTATTTATAAATTTTCCTATTCATTCCCAATATCTCTAATTATAATGGCTTATTAGTTAGCCCTTCCACATGTTTTGTTGTCAAGTGTCCAATCACTTCTTAATCGTAAGTGTATTTTGTTTTTGTGATCTGTGGATAATTATAAACTTTAACTTTAAGGTATTACAAATTACTTTTATTAATAAAATCAACTTTTTAATTGATTAAAAACCAATAAAATAAAATTAATCGATAAAAATAATAACACTATAATAATATATCTTCGATCAAAATACCTATTATAATGAACAATTATTATTTTATATATATATATATATATATATATATATATATATATATTTTTTTTGTTTATTGATTAAAAAAATATAATAAGCACTAGTTATCATCTCAAATTTTAACCGTGTCTCACCAGGTTTTTTATTTTTAATATTTATGATAGTACAATGTTATTTTTAAATTACTTAATTATTTTCAAAATTTTATTTTTAATTATATATTTTTATTAATTAATTTTTAATGTAAAAAAAAACTCTTTTTAGTACTATAATAATATATTTGAATGTTTCGAGTTTACGTATATACTGTTATAATATATATATATATATATATATATATATATATATATATATATATATATATATATATATATATATATATATATATATATATATAAAGAAAACAACTTATTAATTTTAATTACTTATATATAAATTTTATATGTTAGAAAACATATTGAATATAATTCTAATTAAATTGTTTATTTCAACATGTATTATTTAAAGGAAAGGAACCCTTTCCAACTCTATACACATTAATTACTCTTATAGAAAATGAAACAAATTTTATATACTCTTACTCATGTCACACATCTTCATTTTATGGCACTATGTCTTGGATGAACTTTTATTAAATCAGATATTTTATTTACCCTTTAATTATATATGTAATTAAAGGTATTTTTAGTGACCATAATTATTTCAATTTATACTAAAATCTCTTCGTTGAACCTAAGTGTAAGGAGGTTTTATAAATTATCATTAAAATATTTTTTTGTCAGTTAAATTAATTTATAAAATTCTTCAAAATTAAAAACATCAGAAACTTTTATTTTATATTTTAATAATAAAACTTACTTAAAAATATCATACGTACTTTTGATAGTGTTTCCATATATTAAAAATTATAACATGCATACAAAGGTGAAACTTTAAACATAATTAAAAATGAGATTAGTACGTAATAGGTCTATTTGTTTAACTTTTTTAGGAAAATAGAATTTTTTTTAACAAAATAATAACTTATTATAATTTTTAACATGCTTAAATAAACTTATTTAACGTTGTACGTAAGTTTTCTCCTATTTTTATTTATAATTTATTCAATGCAGCGTATATACATTTAAAAACATAAAAGTCAAATCTTAATGCACATTTCAACACTTTATTAAATGGTATATAATCTTACGGCTGGAGATTCACACACTACAACAAAAAACACATTTAGCCACCGAAATTAGCGACCGAATTTTTTCGGTCGCAATTAGCGACCGCTTTAGCGACCGATCTAATTTTGGTCGCAATTAGCGACCGATTTAGCGACCAAAATATGATTTATTTTGCACTTTTTTATATAGC